AGACCTCTCACCTCCTCTAATGGGCCACAGAACACATTATCCTCCACCCATCTGCCATATTTGCTTACATCCCCAAGAGCGTCGAGGGGTTGCTGCGAGAGAGCAACCGCTAACCAGATCTTTGAGGGCACCGACGTCTTCCAGAGGAAGTCTTAACGGAAACCCGAGACGACGGCAGACCGGCAATCTGAGTATTTACGCACATCGATCCGGGCCGATGATCGGGTCTTTAATGGAAACAAAGGAGAAGCTAACGCTCCGTAGGGACCTTACAGGAGGTTCAGATATGATGAAGTGCTGATTGTGGCTTGTTGAGAGGCTGTCAATGTGTCATTTCACATCTGCTCACCCTTCACCCTCCTCATCCTCCTTCCTGTGTCAACATGCAGCGTTTGCTGGCTTCTCATTGGGTCCAAGTGCAATGAGATCTGCTGAAGAACCCAACCAAAGTACAGAACAAGGGTTTTAATCAACTCAACAATCAGACAACAATCGCACATGATTGTGTCATGAATAATTAACTTGATCACTTTGCTAAAAAAAAATCATACCACCAATAATAATTAATCACAATCAGTTATATTTGTTTCCAGAATTGGGTTTTGTTGTCCCCCAGGGTTCCAGCTAATGCTCTTGTTGAAAATTATTCAACTTAATTACCGGTGTTGGTGACTAAGGCATGACTCAACGTTCAGGACAGAGAAACACTTTAATATTAATACCTTTCTTTGACTAAAATCCAGCTATTTTCACATTAATCTTTGACAATAAATTAAAAATGAAACGAATGTGCAACAGTGTGCTGTCATAAAATTCACTTGATTAAGGGTTATGAGGCCATTTCTAAAACATCTGATGTCCATTTTGGTAAGAATTAAAATCAGGATTAATTTTTGACGCAGTCTTTTGGGTTCAATTCCCAACCTCAGGACCTTTGCTGCATATCCTGACTTGTTCTCTTTACCCATTTTACTGCAAATAAATGCAACTATTGCAACAAGAGCTTTTAAAAAATCAAAAGTTAGGATGTTAACTGTTGGGTTTGACGACAAAAGTTTATCTCCATACCAAAGAATTGATTTGGTTCTTTGGGAAAGTTACATTTGAATGAAGCTCAGGACGTCTGGAATGATGTTCTGAGGGTTGGCAGGTTTGGTTGTTATTGGTGAAAATCAACCTTTTTAGAAAAGGTATTTTATTCAAACAGTTGGTGGTTGATTGGTCATAATTAGGGCTCGTAATGCTCCAAGACGTTGGAGAATAAACATTTATAGCTCCAATCTGAGGCCAATCTGACCAAAGTCTGGTGCTAAATAAGGTGATTATCTGCAACCAAATGGCTAAAATAGAGGAGAATCAAGAACCCAATCAAAATCCAGACTTCATGTTCATTTAAAAACCGCAGCAGGACCTTAAAAGATGTAAACCAAACATTGGAAAACATCCACAATGATGCGAGAAACTGATTAAAACAGAAAAAACCTGCAAAGGTTTTAAACGTTACTGAAAACTTTACCTAGAAAAGACCCAGGATAAATAATTAACTTATACTTTTCTCAATCAGAGATGTTACGTTTGGCTGCTGAACTACCAAGTTCATATTTAATTACCTATTTGGTTGTTTGTTGGACTCTTTCATGAAAGCGATAAAAGTTTAAACCTGTTAAATGTCACAAGAGGTCAGACGGTTTATTTAGGTCTTGATTTCCTCTGCAGTAAATTATGGATGAAAAGCTCCTGGACTTTTGGCCACTTCTAAAATAAATAGTCTAGCTGACTGATTTTTCTAAAATATTCATTTTCCAATCTGCTTTTGGTTAATTGAAGTAATTGAGAAGCAAATCGAGAGCGTGCATGAAAATATGTTTTTGAAGGGTATTAAAAGTCCTTTACTTTAGGCTGCAAGTAATTTGGTTTAAATTAAAGAGTTGAAAACTTTTGATCAACAAAGTTGTTCAAAGTTTTTGTGAAAATTAAACCTAACAAGCTGGTATTATTCACTGAAATGTTCTGCAGAATAACATTTCCAAAATAAACATCTGCAGTTCCATTCTTCTTCTGTGGGGTGGAGATAGTTGTCTGCTGCGTTTGTGCTGCGTAAATCTAAAGCAGGGACATGTACTCCATCTTTAATCGCTTCCATTATTAATACAATGCTTTAAATAGTTGGGATTTGCTTTTTAACCAATGGGTTTAACATTTCGTCTATTTTAACAAAATATCAAATCGCAATCACGAGACAACATTTGGCAAGATTAAATAAGCTTTTACAAATGTTGCTGCAACCAAATCAGCTTTTATTCTCTGTTAAACTTGGCTAAGTATAGCAAGCATTTTGAAAGAAAGTAATCCAAATCCAATAGAGTCCAAACAAACTCCTGAAAACTCGACGTCTTTCTTTTAAATGTGCAAAATCTGTTGTGGCCTATTAGAGCTACTGTGGAAAAAAAGTAGTAAAATTCTGCCAAAAAACACAGACATTTTGAGAGTGATCTCAGAAATTTTCTACAAAAAACGTAGAAGTTTCCAACCGTTGCACTTCTAAAAATATATTTCTCTTTGATTTTTCTGCAGATTTCTAACTATTTTCCAACTACCTGGAAACTCTTGGAAGTAAAAGAATAAAATCACCTCAGCATTATATAGAACTGGCTTGTTTGGGGTGAAGATGTGCAAATCGGAGCATGTGACACACACGAGGTCCATGGTCATTTCCCTTCTCCGTCCCGACATGCAGGGTGCGACCCACCCAGACACCTCCTGACACCAGAGATCAGGTTTACATTTCAGAGGAATGTTAACACCAGCCAAGGGCGAGCCGTGGCCTTTCCGAGTTAAAAATGCGAAGCAATTCTGCTCTCCTCATAATGCAGGCTGTGTGTCCTTGATAGCTACAGGAGGGACTGAGCTGAGAATGACTCCGCGTCCCAGAGGGCCGGCGATCAGCTGATACAGACAAAACAGAAAAGGAAAGCTTCCAGAGACAAGCAACGTAATTGAGATGGGGAAGAGTCTCCGCCTTGTTCCTGAAACGCCACAAGTATTGAGCCGAGTGGCTGCGGAGGCGAGGTGATTGCCACAGACAGCCATCCAGGAGGAGTTCATTGACAGAAAGCGTCAAGTATTAACATGTAGCTGCAGCACAATGAGACTCCCGACGAGAGCCGTCATGCTGCATGCTAATTTCATTACAGCAGCAATGCAAGAGAGACATCTTTGTATTCAAATGAGGGAGCTTGGTTTAAGTAAATTACTCCCAGCGCCTGCCAAGTGTGTGATTATGGATCTGGGGTGTTTGTGCTGTAACACTCATCCAAATGCGCAGAGTCGCTCTGAGCCCAAACGGCGAAGAAAAGGGAACAGGCGGCAGCCTAAGACGGCTGCAGAATCAAATGTTTTGCTGAGGAAATTAGAAATCTGTCGAGTTACAAAAATCCTGATTTGCAGCATGAGCCTCTGCCAAATTTGCTGCATAGAAATGAAACTGCCCCTGGAAGGAAAGAGGATTTCTGACTACAGATCCTGCATTAACTGCTTTAGGCAGACTTGTCGCATTTAAAGCACTAACAATGCCTTTCTCTCCACTGAAACACAAAAAAACTGACTCAGTTTCTACTTTTCAACTGGTGGAGTCTTGAATCAAAAGAATGCTATTTGAGATGCAGACGTGTGACTAGCTGTCACAGTTTCCCTCAGACTCTCAGCACGCATCAGAAGCAACAGCACAGATGACAGCTTAACAAGCCCAACAACACCATTACAAGTGTAAGGCAAAAACCTGCAGCTGACAGCTAGCTAACTAGCATTAGAGTTGTCATCTAGCAGAGACAACGAATCTGAGCGTTTTCTACTAAACCGTCTTTTTTTTTTAATCCTGCATTAGAAATTCACTTTTATTTTATAGTAACTTCACATTTGTTTTAACTAGAGACAAGAAATTATAAACCAGGCAGGAATATCACTGACACTGCAACATTTATAAACTTTGAAAACTTTGTTTGTTTTACTGTGAAATGTGTGTTAAATTTAATAATTAAAATGAAGTTCTTTCTTTGAAATTGACACCCAAAATTGTTTTTAAATTCATAAAGCACTAAATTTTGCATTCATTTACATTTTTTTGCGTGAGATTTTGGACGATATGGCTGAGAAATGTACAATATAAGCATTTAATGTCAGTTAATATTGATAATTATTGACTCGTTTTTTTTATTTTAAGGATCTGAAATACTGCCAAACTGATCACCTTTCCCGTTTTATCCAGTTTTCACTTCACCCTTTTGCTTTTTTGCATTTTTAAGTAGTTTATGTGAAACCTGAAACTGCTGTTACTCAACAGATTGTTGCTAGGTAACCACAAGTTACAAAGTAGATTGTTGCTAGGCAACCACACGTTACAAAGTAGATTGTTGCTAGGTAACCAAAGGGTGAGTGAGTCAGTTGACACAAATTTTGCATAAATAACTTTGAGAGGTTGAGCGGCTAAAATATTTCCTCTGCCTACATTTCCCAGAATGCTGTGCGGTTCTGGATTGGAGTTCAGTGAATATTCTATCGAATATCAAATATTCTATCAGATGTATTATCTCTTGATTGATTTAATGTGTGTTAAAATGTACGGTGGATTTTTGAGAAGCTACACCTATGAATTAACACTCAAAATTGTTTTCACATACATAAAACACAACATTTTCAAAAAGTTTGCATTTTTTGAGGGCTTTGAAATTTAACAGCTATGGCATCTGTCATGTGTTTCACTGGTTATGTCCTAGGTGTTAAGCTAATGAGGATAATCAGTAGGACGTCAGCAGCAGAATCTGGCTGCTGGTCAAGCTCTGAAAATCACCTGACAGATAAATTTGTCTTCCTTCACAAGCTGAAGGTCACTGATTGGTCCAACAGATACAAACGCCAGAGAGCGGCTCAGTTGTTTTGAAGGCAGCTGATGTTTGCTTATAAAACTCTGCTGGTGATCATCAAGGTTTATTTATTAGTAGAAATGAATTGTCCAACTGGAAAAAATATGCAATAAACAAATGCAATTAATACCATTATGTATCACAAGGTGTCTTAAAACAAGATAAATGACAAAATGTGGAACATTATTTCAGACAATTTTGTAAACTGATAAAATGAAAAAATATAAATGATTTGAAAAAAGTTATCTCTTTTGGAGTTGGCAAACCAGATTCCAAAAATTAGATCTAGGGAATAATCAGCAGACTTCTGTATCCATAACTAATAATTAGACATAAACGTCCCCAAGGCAACCCTGGAGAACCATCCACAGGGTCAGTGATTGGGTACTGTCGTCAAAATGTTGCCAATGTTGGTCATCCGTATAAAGGCATGACCAAGAAGACCTGGAGCTGTATTTGCTGCTAAAGGTGATTAAAAGTTATCAAAAACTGTGGTTGTGAATATTTATGAAACAATGGATAATATAGAATGGAGAAAAAGGTGTATTCTTAAAAAAAGCTGTTTTTGCCATGCCTGTTGTAAAACTACCAGCAACTCTGATAAAAGTTCATCAAGCTTTGATGTAGCGGTACGTCAAAAAGCTAAAATGGTAAAATTCTTTGTTGGTTTTGTTTTACGTTTGTATTTATTATTTCATTTGTAAAATATTGAGGCAAACCTGCTGGAATCAGGCTCACAGTTGGAAGACTCCAGTAATTAGCTGTGCACGCTACCACTAGCACGGTAGAATTAGCATTAGCATGTTGAGTTTAAGAATACTGCAATTTTTAACCAGTCTGATATTAGGAGCTTTAATGCATATTAAAAAGATTTCACTCTAGGACTGAAACAATCTCTTTCTTTACCATGTTTAAGGCTTAGACTGATGAAACGTTACCTAGTGATTCGTTTGGATGCTAAGCTAACATTTCATCAGTCAGTATTGATTATTTCCTCTAGGTTTATGGAGCAATATTCATTTAAGATCTCAGATTCAAACCAAACTTTCTGTATCCCAGTCCTTCAATAGATGGTACAGCATTTGAACAGTGTTGCTGTAGTTTGGTGTTAAAAATAAATAGAAACCGTTGCCTAGAGCTGCCATGTATGGTGCATTTCCTCTCAATGTGGCCCTGTGTTATGTTAGACGTTGGACTCAGGCAGCGTCCACCAGTGGGTTAGTTGGTTGTGATCGAAAGGTAAGATTGGGAGGTTTGAACTTGCGTCATTGCAGGAGCTTTAGGCTTTATATTTACTTCTCCCCTCAAAGCTTTAGCATCAATATCCAGCACTATAGCTAACAGAGCACTGTTCAGAAATGACTATTTTTCCACTTCTCCTGTATTTCTATCACAACCAGCAGTGAGAAATTGTTAAAGTTCATTCCAATGCTGAGATGTTTTTATGACTCACAACTCAAGGCTGTTATTTAAGACCATTTGAAAATGTAGCTTGTCAAAACTAAAGAGACAGATGAATAACATATTAGTTACAATGGAATCCATGTTTTCTGAAAGTGTTTCTGCTTGCCTATTTACCTGCATTTTTACTGTTTTCTCCATCTTGTTTCTACTGTTTTCTCCTTTACAGATTTCTTCTGTTTTCCCCATTTTCACCCATTTAAAAGCATCAGATCAGGCAAAGAAAAAAGCAGTTTTTAAAAGACTATTTTATTTATTAAGGCCCTTTATGATTAAATAATTGCTTCCTAAGTCCAATAACTGCCATCAAGCTTCAACTATAACTGTTAATTGTCCTAATTCTACCCAATATATTGGTATATTACCCAATATTACGTATTATTGGGTAATATTCTCTAATATTTTTTTCAATATTAGATCATATTTCCAAAATATTACTCAATACTGGCAAATATTTTGCCAATGTCAATCAATATTGGAGTATATTTACCCAATATTCTATAATATTGTGTAATATTTCCCCAATATTGGAAAATATTTCTCCAATATTACCTAATATTAGAGAATATTTCTCAAATATTCCTAGATATTGAAGAAATTTTCTACATATTCCCAAATATTGGAGAATATTGGGAAGTTGGCAAGCATGAGAATTGTTGTTTTTGAGATCTTTAGCTTAAATGAAGTTAGTGAGGGCTGCTGAGCTTCTTTAATTTACTCTAGATTAGAGAAAATGCTGCTTTTGAGATCATTAGGTCTACTTCAAGCTGCCAGACCGGTCCCATTTAAATAATTTCTTAGCTATAAAGGTTGGAAGAAAACAGGCCTATGTGTTGTGAGTGATGGTACAGATAATTTAACTCATGATTAAGAGTCAATGTTATTTTCTCTCAGTACCAGGATGGCTTGAAAAGCTATTTTCCCCTTGACTGATTGTTCTTTGGTAAATTGAAACATCTAAAAAAAATCCAGGAGAAGTTTATGAAGGGACAAACACTTTTTCACATCACGTTTCAGAAATCTCTTTAAATAGTTCAAATCCTGACACAAAAATTGCCTCAAATCTCTTTTCCCACCTCATCGCTTGTTTCTGAACAGTGAACTTTGAGAGCCAGCTAGATATTTCTGAGCACAATCACACATTAGACTGAAACGTATTAACCTACAATATATATCACCTGACAGAAAGTTGAGTTTTCCCCTGAGGTTCTCTCTTTTTATTCACCTGGGGAGCTGCGAGGCTCTTTATTTCACAGAAAAATGTATTACTTCAAGGCAGCAGTGAGGAAAACTCCTGGAGAAGAAGATATATTAAAAGCTTAAGTCAGAGGCAGGTTCATTGGTGGGTTGTGATTCAACACGTTTTCTCTTTATTTTCTTTTGCTTGAGCAAGACAGGCTCAGCATACATAAAGCAAAACTCGAATATGATATAGTTTTTCTGTTGGAAAGACGACAAAACCATCTGAATTTTTATAGACACCAAGATAAGTAAATGCTTGAAATGTCAACCTGGTTGTCATGAATCTATATATCAGTTTTACTTCTTATACTGAACTTGTGATGCCTGAAGAAATAACTCTACATCCCAACACCAGCTGGGCAGAGATGGAGAGTGACAGTAGAGAGCGGAGAGGAAGCATGTTGACAACCCTGAGGTCAATGATGTAGAGCCAAACCGACCGTTTCCCCCCTGGGAACCATTTAGGACTAATTTGGTCCCATTTGTGTACAGGAAGTCTCAACAGTAAACGCCTGCCAAGCACAAAATGCCTGGAACATTGACTACAGCTGATAAATCAGAAGGCCAGGGTCAGCATTAACTTTTACTGTACAGAAATCCTTCAATTACCAGAAGATCACGTCTTTTCTGCTTGGCTTAAGCTGAACGTTGCAAGAAAATGTGGTTTATTACCAACTTGTGAGCTAAAAATAAAAAAGAAAATCAGTGTTTCTTAGTGTGAGTATGATTAATTATCCAGATGATAGCTGGGAACTGCCTCCGCAGAGGAGATGTGTTTCCAGAGAACTTGTCAACGTTGCTCTTATCTGAGACAACAAATCATGACGGCAACAGCACAACATTTTAACAAGATGCCAGAGCTTGTTGCATAAACCCAACTGCATCCTGGAGATTACGTGTTGTGATAAATCTGAAGCAACAATCCTAATAAAAGCAGTTCAGTAGGTTCACTAAGCCTAACAGGGAACAGTTCTGCAGTGCACGCAACTTTTAGAGATGGCTGGTTGGAAATGTCTAAAACCAACAACAGTCCAAGACACCAGGGTCTTATTATTGAACCATGGGAATCAGGATCTTGATTGGAAGAGGATCAGCGAGGAAGTTAGAAAGTCGATAAGTTCTGACTTTTACTATTTTGAAAATATTTCCCTACATTTGAGCTATCCAAAAACACTGAATCACATTAAATAAACAATAAATAAACACATTTATTTAATTAGACAAAATACACAGGAGACGGTGGACGAGTTTGAGAGTTTGACACATCTGACATGTGTCTAGATCAGGAGTGGGCAGTCCTGGTCCTGGAGGTCCAGTGTCCTGCAACTCTTAGATGTCTCCCTGGTCCAACACACTTGAATCCAACAGCTGAATCACCTCCTCAGTGCAGTCAGGTTCTCCAGAGTCCTGCTAATTACCTCATTATTTGACTCAGGTGTGCTGAAGTAGAGACACATCTAAAAGTTTCAGGAGACGGGCCCTCGAGGCCTGGAGTTGCCAACCCCTGATCTAGAGCAAAATGTAAAGTATCTGCATTCAAAGTGCACATGCGTTGAACTTGAAGCGTCAGACGCAGTTTTGAAGCATGAAGCGCATTTGGTGTGAAAGCAGCATTAGACAAAAAAGGTTAGCGAGAACCACCAGTAGCTCCAAACCAACAATAAGGAGGAAAACAAGGAGAAAGTGTTTTTTTCTGCTCTACTATGACAAACATAAACATGAGGAGTAGGTAACACTCTACTGAGACTTTGGTCAGATGAGGCTAAAAGCCGATTTAACCTCCAGAAGGCTACTAAAGCTATTGAAGCTATTAAAGGCTACTAAAATGAGAGTTTTCATATTGACATGATGTCAATGTGGACAAAGATGAAATTGTTTTAATGTTTTTAACACGTCTTCACTAGGAGTGTTAATAATAAGTAAAGAAGGAGCGATATTTATTCTTCCTGCTGTTCTAGAAACACAAACAGAAGGGAGAGTAATGCTCCTTCTGCTCTGCATTGTAGCCAAGAGGTTATAAAGAGGCGCCTCATCACATCCAGGTGATTAAACTATTTGTCCTAATGCAACCTAAATAACCAGCAACACAGACTGCAGGCGGTAAAATCAGCAGAAATGTGCACACTGCATTAGTTGATGCAATTTCCTCTCCCTTCTGTTTTCTTTTGTGATCTCATCGCAATCTCTGGCTGGCTATTGTCAGTTTAATACAGTCCAATGCAAATTAATGTAACTAGAGTAACAGTAAAATGGACAGTCTTTTCATAAATTCATATAACATCTTTTTGCATAAAGAAAATGCAAAAATAACCATTTGCAGCTGCTTGAAACCTCATTTTCACACTTTTTGGTACGATTAAGGTTTTTTCCAGAGTGAAGCTTTGATTAAGATTTATTTACCGTTTCTTCTAATGAATTTGGATATTTTCTAAAGTGAAAAATCAGTCATGTAATTAAATAAATAATCAACAGCTTAATCAGTCGTGACAAACAATTAACTTCAACCTTTATCTGCACCCTGAAAGTGAACGCAGGGAAGGAAACCCACTGATTTCACAATCAATGCTGTTTTTCAGAAAAGGTTTCATTTCCAAAAGGGACCAAGACTCCTGCCTGACTCCATCTTTGTTAAAGCTGGCCACAGTAGTTGTGATTTTTTTTTTTCTGGTGTCCAAATGACAAAGAAAGAAACAATGTAAAAAAAAAACAAAAAAAACACACAGACTGTAACACTGAGGATGTCGGAGTCTACCGCTACTCTCCACTGGCTCAGATTATCTGTATGGGTGCAGAAAAATATGTCATTTCAAAACAAATATGGCCGAATATGTGATTGAACTGGTGTGCAGGAAACAATCACATTATCTATCTTGACAGAGAAGATGGGAAATGACAAAGAAAAGCTGGAGAAGGAAATCAATCTTTAGTTTCCTTTGCAGGATGGAATTGGATTGGGAGGAAAATAATGCTTTTAAAAAGACAGTCTCCTCTGTCTATCCTCTGGCTATTGTAGAGCTGGCAGCTTGTCATCATTTTTCCATTACATGAAGATGGCTGTGTTGGTAGCATGGGCATATTCTCTTTAAGAACGTATATTACAGAGGATGCATGATGGGCAACAGAGAGGAGGAAAAAAATTAAAAGATTAAAAAAGCATTTTCTGTAATAATTCATGTGATAATGCTCAGATAAATAATGCAAGACTCATGTTTGAGTTTCACAAAATCTCTGTGGTATCAAGTCATTTTGAGACATCAACATATCATCAACATACACAGTAATCCTCTGAAACAACTCAGACAAAACTATGGATACATGATGCAAATAAGTATTTTTTTAATAAAAACAAGCAAACGTCACATAGCAGTAGTTAAGTAAATGAAAACGCTGACTGTAGTTTATGAACTTTAAACTGGTGAGTTCTTTTTTAATGTTTGATTTAAAGCTTTCCTGCAGCTTTCTGGAAATTTCTTCCATATTAGAGAAGCATAAAACTGAATGTTGCTCCTCCATGTTTGGTTGTGAATCTGTGGATACAAATCAGATCTTTAATATAATTACAGCTAAATAATTCAGTGATTTATAAACTAACAAACTTGTGAAGACTAATCAATATGCATAAAGATAAACACAAGGATGCGTTCAGGTGATAAAAGGCTGACTTTATAACTATCTTTATGTATCTGTGAAGGTTCATTATAACCAGATTTCAGATCTGATCGCTGGTTTCTAGCTGTAACAATTTAATATGTGTGATGACCAAATTGCTCCTCTTTAAGTGTAAAACTGATAACTTTTGTTTTTGTTCAGCTCTCACTCATCAAAGCGATGTTTTACTTCACAACATTCATGAAAGTTTGAGCAGTTCTAAACCTGTAACTTCTTAAAACTTTGTTTTGGTGATTGAACATGTAATGACAAGATTGAATGCTAAGTTTTTAGGCCATAATCAAGTCAAGAAAACCATTGAAGATTGTTTGACTTCTGTTGATAAAATTTACAGTGAAGGCTGATATTTATGCTTCTAAAACATACTAAAAATCATCTGGAAACTTTTGACGTTCCTCACTTTGACACTGGGTAGCATTTCTGACAACTTTCAGAGTCCTCACTGATGCTTTCAGGATCTGATATCAAAGAGAATGAAGAGTTGTCTGCAGAGATTTGTTTCAGCTATAAAATCTTCAGCAGAGTAGACTGTAGATTAAAGACGGACTGATATGCAGACAGTGTGCTACTTTTAGAGGAAAGCAGGAGCTTGAATTATAGGAATATTTATGTAGGTCTACAATGAATCAACAACTTCCTAGAACCGTGTTGGATCCTCTTGACTCTAGAAAGCGATTTAATTCTTTGTGGCATAGATTTCTTCAGAGATTTTGATTCATACTGACTTGATCGCGTCACAAAGTTGCAGCAGATTTGTTGGCTGAACACCAATGGATGTGAATCTAGTGTCCACCATATCCCAAAGATACTAGCACTATGGGTCTAAAGTGAAAAGATATCAGACACTATTACACTGCGACCAGTTAATACAAATGACTGATTATTGCTTTCTTGTTATTTATGTAAAATGTTGACCCTGTCATCTGAATATTTTCCAGCTTTTTATTGTAATTATGATTGAAAAATGTACCACAATGTAAGTACGTTTAATTCATTTACGGATAATATATTTCAAACTTGTACTTCTGATGATGATTCAGGCTTTGGTTTGCTATTTTTGACAATTTTCTTCTCTCTCTTCAGGTGCAGCGACTCCACCATCGATCTGTTTCACTGGACGACTCGTCTTCATTAAACCTGAGCTGTTTTAAGGCGACGCCTGCATGCATGAGGGCGGACGAGCTACTCCTGTACGTGACCCAGCGAACGCGCCGATTCATCTCAAATGCAAAGAGGGGTCAGGAAAGGCTCCCCGGCACCATATGTTTGTCAGCTGACATTAAAGACAGCCGAGTCTGGGCTTGTTTAAGAGTCTTATTGAGTCTTACCTTCTTTAAACAGCCATAAAAGCTTCAAGCTAATTAAAATTTAAAAGTTGGGGCAAGTTTACTTGTTATTTTTAACCTCAGCTCTGGTAAATCCTCACCACTCTCATCCAACAAGATCTAAAACTATAAACCGTGTTTATTTACGTCAGTTTTATTTTCAAAAACACAGACTTTGTTGCTTCAGAGTGACATATGGGATTATTTAACTAGGATTCACAAAGCTATCTCCGTATGCCGAGCACAAAGCCAGATCTGAATCAAATCCAAGGCAGAAATAAAAACATGACACATTATCCAGTGCAGCAGGGATGGGGAGAATTATTATTGGATTTCCATATGAACATTAGGTTGTTTTGATCCAACTGTCTTCTGTTTGTTATGCAAAACTCCCATAAGGGCAGCAAGGCTTGTAAAAATGATCATCAGTCAAGGAGAAGTCACTTGAATATAAACAAACCAGTGACGCAAGAAGCAGCAAATAAATAGATTCCCTGCTTATTAGCTGCAGGATTTTGCAAAACACGGAACAAATGGAAAGAAAAGCGGCCAAAACTAAAACTTATCTTGTTTTGTTGATGTACAAGATAGCATTAGCATTGTACATCAACAAAGCATAGCATGGTTTATTTGCCGCAGGAAGTTAGAAAAGTAGCAGCAAAATTGAGTAAAGTGAATATTTTATTAATTCTATTAGGATGATTTATTAACTAATCAGCTGGCATTTATTCATAGTTTCTGTTTATGCAAACAGGACTTCTCATAATGCTTAATATGAAAATGGTACAATAAGTTGGAAACAAGAGGGAAAAAATCCTTGGATGCAAAGAAAGCTTAGAGGAGGAAAAGGCAATAAAGGCACCTAAAGAAGACCGAGTCAGATGCATGTTTCTATTCTGCTCAGACTTTGCATATATAGGATGGAAATTACAGCAGTTTTCTTTCTCTATTCAAGCAGCTTTCAGAGAATCTGCTAACAAATCAAGGGATAAGAACCTCTCTGAGAAAAATAATCAAATCCTATTCATTCCTACATGATGACAGTCGAGTTACCATCTCCAAAAGTAAACTTTTTTCTCCTGCTGGATTATATACTTCTATGTAATAGAGATGCCAATTGCTTTTATGCAAACATTGAGCTTTTTGTAAAATCTACATCTGACAGCTGTATACATGGTTTCACGCCAGCAAAGTTTTGCTTAAAAAAAAAAAAAAAAAAAAAATAGGAGACAAACTATGATTTTGGTTTCCATTTAATGCCAATTAACACGTCTAAATGAGGTTAAAAAAAATTAACGAGTGTAATATGAATGTAAAATGTGTAATATATTTAAATGGCTAAATAAAGACAAAAAGTTCAGATCAAAAATGTCACTGAA